CCAACCCCCTCAAATTGTCCTCTGACTTCTGCAGATACAAACATAAACTAACTAACTAAATATATAAATAAATGTTAAAAAAGTAAAGTTTTAAAAAAAGAAAAAAAATTGCCAAGCCTGGTGGCACATGCCTTTAATCCCAGGACTTGGGAGACAGAGGCAGATGGATCTCTGTGAGTTCAAGGCCAGCCTGGCCTACAGAGTGAGTCCCAATCAAAAATACAAGACAAAACAACAAACAAAATAAAAATAAACCTGTCAACAATACAAAAAGGACAAAAGAATGGCTACAAATTTTTTTCATTAAGAATATACATGTGCTATAAAATATTCACAAAAAATGAACATCAAGATATTTACTTATCAAAACTGCATTAATAATGATTAAATCATAGCCAAATAAGCACTAACATAAGATACATTCTCCAAAGAAGGCAACAAACAGTTCAGTGTGCCACCAGATGATGCCAATCATATCTAGGCACTGTTCTAAATGCTTTCCTTGAATCTATTCACTGACCCTTAACCAAAGGGCATTGACTTCACAGCCCACAAGGAAACTAAGATAACAAGAGGCTAAGTAACCAGCTCAGGAGTCAGGTAATAGAGCTGGACTTTGAACCAAGGCTTCAAAGCCCTGAGACAGGGTTTCACAACAATCTACAAAACAGTCAGGGGACACTAACAACTCCAGTAATTATAGGTGGATAACTGGAGTAAAAGTACTCAAGGGATTGTCACTGCTTAATTTAAATATGCCTAAACTTCAAATGTCACCTTTTAGATGGCACAGAAAAGTATCTCCTGTTCAAATATTCAAGGAGCATTTTTAAAATGATTTTATTTTATGTATACTGGTGTTTTACCTGAATGTATGTCTGTGTGTTGGATTCCTTATAACTAAAATTATAGAAAGTTGTGAGCTGCCATGTGGGTCTGGGAATTGAACGTGGCTCCTCTGGAAGAACAGTTAGTGCTCTTAACCACTGAGCCATCTCTTCAGTCCTTCAAAGGAGCATATTTTAAAATGGGATTTATGTAAGGATTTATACATTACATAACTTCAGTAAAGCAAATTCTATCCAAAGTTACCCTCTTAAACAAGAGAGTTAGTTTCTAAAGACAACACATTCTTTAAAAATTTATTTTAGCAGGGAGTGGTCATGCACACCTTTCTCCTCAGCACTCCAGAAGCAGGCAGGTCTCTGTAAGTTTCGGGTCAGACTGGTCTACATAATGATTTCCAGGCCAGCTGGGGGAGAGCTGTCTATAAACAATAACAAAAACAATACAAAAAACCCCCTCCAAACAAACAAACAAACAAACAAACAAGTTTACTCTAAGTGTTGGGGTTTAGCCGCAGCGAGCCCATGGTAGTTAGTTGGCACAAGGCCCTGGGTTCAATCCAAGCACCACTCCAAACAAGATTACTCTGCAAAACACTTGCACATCTCTGTGAACCATAATGAAGTTAAGATTGCTTCAGTGCATCGTTTCCCAGGTTTGCTAATCTAGAGTCATTTCCAAATGCAAAAGAGATTCACAAAGAGCACCTATGGAGAGACTCAAGAGTGACAGCCACACTACCACTCCATACAGCTTTCCCCAGTAGGAGAAACCAAATGAGTCTGTGGAGTCAGCGGAAGCAACGGCTCAGAACAAAGCAGTTATTCTTCTACAATGGCTGTTTACCTAGAATAACAGTTAGGGAAATGACCTTGGATATGAAAATTAATAAAACAGAATATCAGTACTACAGCATCTCAGGAAATTCTTTATATCAGGAGGAAAGAAAAGAAAGCTTTCCCTTAAGCATTGGCAACATCAGTAAGAGACATGTTACAGGGATCCTGTCATTTCCACTTAAATAATGACATTTCACAATATCTGATACAACTGATTGTGAACTGGAATATTCTGGAAAATATAAGTAATTTTCTTTCCTTAATATATCCTACTGAACAATTTTTAAAAATTTTATTTGAGACAGGGCTTATCATTTAGTCCAACCCAGACTGGAATTGAACTCAGCAAGCATCCTTCCACATCAGTCTCCCAAGCATTGTAATCACAGGTATCCCCTCCTTGGCTTTCCCTGTGAACCTCACTGAGCAATTTGTTTCCCCACTATTTACAAGATTAAATAAGCAGGGTATCATAGACATACAACACATATCCCCTCTTCCACACATAAGAAAACAGTGTTGTGCAAACCAGGCTATTACCAAGGTTCAGCAGGATGCCTGAGGACAACTTCAGAGGGATGGAAACAACACTTAGATCTCAAGCCTAGTTTAGGCTCTGACATTACCTACTTCACAAGCTCTCAGGCCAGCCAGTCACTGATTGTTTCTAGGCCCCAACTTCCCTCTCTATTAAATGAGAGGCACTGACTATGCATTCACAAGAACAAACTACAATTCTAAATCTTGGTTTCAGTAAATAATGATGATTCTTACTTAATGCAAGCAAAGGCAGGCTATTTCTAATGGTTAGTCAATTACACACAGGCATCCAAAACTTCAGTGTTTTCTGTACTTGGAAATTCCCAGCTGACAATACATGATGACCAAGAAAGGCAGAATTAAACTCTCAAATGCAAAGCCATGCTCACCTTCTAGCCACTTACTTATTAACCAAGATGACTAATTTCAGGCTACTCTTGGCTAGCTTTCTTGTGTTAAAAATAGGGCAAAGATTATCATCATAAATATGGGTAATATTATATTCAGATTAATAAGACATGATATAAATGGTTAAATTTTGAAATACTTCAAAGTGATATCATTCTACACTTAAGTATTTCTAGTTCTCGAATAAAAACACCATACTTGAACTTTCACAGTGATTTCACGTGTACCATCTTACCAAACACAATGACAGTCATATGAAATAGGGTGAGTCCTTTTATCAACAGAGTCAAGAGTAGTTCTGAACGGTAAGTTGCCAATCATTACTTAATAAGTCTTGATACTCAGACTTTAATCCAGGTCATTCTATTTAAAATCTAATGATCTTTATGAGTGCTATGGCCTTTAACCTCATGAGGCAGAGTCTGAAGCCATCCAGGGCTATAGAGTAAGACCTTATTTCAAAATCCTAAAAAATGTTGATTTTGCCAGGCGGTGGTGGCACACGCCTTCAGTCCCAGCACTAGGGAGACAGAAGCAGGCGATCTGTGTGTTTGAGGCCAGCCTGGTCTACAAGAGCTAGTTCCAGGATGGCTTCCAAAGCCCCAGAGAAACCCTGTCTCAGAAAAACAAACAAACAAACCTAAAAGTGGTGATCTGAGCCAAAGTTAGACAAAAGAAACAAAGGACAATACAACAAACAGAATGTAAGGAAGGATTTGGGTTGGGTGTGGTGGAGCATCCCTTTAATCCCAGCACTCAGGAGGCAGTGTTTTAAGTTCCAGGACAGCCAGAGCTAAATATTAAGACTTTGGCTCAAGCAACAACAAGAAAAAATAAAAAACAAGGGAAGGAAAAGAAAAAAAAAAAAAAAAGAACGAAAGAAAGAAAAAGTTTGGCAGCTGTAGAATCAATAAGTAAATTAACTAGATTTTAAAATTTTTGATATACCAAACTTACAATTCTACTTGTAAAAAACTTGTCACCTCATTTCAAAGACAAGTGTAAAAAAAACAGTTTGCTAACTCAAAAAATAAGGATAATATGAGAACACATAGCTAAAACTAGCTGTAGACAAACTGATATATATATATATATATATATATATATATATCTTCTAGAATGTGTACTTCAGGGATTTAACTGTATCATTAAATGTATCTAAGAAATACAGCCTTAAAAAATGCATCGGTGTTTAGCAAACAAGCTGAACAGTAGAAATTACCACTTTAGAATCATTTTGCACCTTACATACTGGTCATATTTGTCTGGGGTACCAAAGGTCAAGAAAAACATAACCTTCCATAGTCAAACTATTGCCTAGTAAGTAAGTTTCTCCCCTAAAATCAGACCCAATGACAACACAGTTCATAGATAATAAAGGTTGGAATATAGCCAGGCCCAGAGCTTCAGAGGCAGAGGCAGGTAGATCTCTTGAGTTCAACAGCCTGGTCTACACAGAGAAAACCTGTCTCAGAAAAAAAAAAAAATTAACAAAACAGTTGGAATATTAAATTCTTCATTACGCCAAGAGAAACACTGGGAGAACTTCTCTAAATGATTAATCAGTTCGTCTACAAAATGTCTGCAAACATCAAGGAAGAACCGAAAGTCAAGATATATACTGCCAACATATATGCACAGCGCCAAATTATTAGATATTATTAGATTTTTTTTTTTTTGGAGTAGAAGAAAAGCAAAAGATGGCTATGTAAAATCAAATCAAGCTGAGGTCACAAATAACCTAACACAAGATTTTTAAGTCTTGCTGTAAGTACTCCCACTGCAGTGAAATACAAATGTTGGGAACTAGGGGTTTGGAAAGGGCAGAGAACACTCTTTTTTTTTTTTTTTTACAGCGGGAGGAAGAGCCAAGGTCCACAGTAAGGGCTAAGGGCTCTGAGAAATAAGGGCCTTTCCCTTTGGCAACTTGTACCGTCAGGACACCCTCATGCCTGCACGTCATGGAGAAACATTTGGCATAATGCGCTAGCGGCTGGCGAGGAGAAACACACTGAAAGGTGCTGGAAATCAAGTCGGTCATCAGCAGCGAAGACCTTCTTCATTTAAACCAAGGTTCTGTACACCCCGGGAGGAGGGTGCTCTGTAGAAGCCAAGGATGGCTTCCAAGTTTGGATCGAGCGGTCGGGAGTGCCTGGGTTCAGTGTCCCGGTAACCAACTGCGGAGAGGTGTCCCAAATAACCCGGCTACCGCCAGGCTGACAGCCTGTCAGCAGTGACCTGAAATACTCCTCAAGTGGAAAACAGCGTGTTCTGTATGTGCACCGCCCAAGTGTGAGGGCCACGGAAGAAGCCGAGCTGTGGAGAGCCTCGGCTTGCGGCCCCGACTCCCCGTTTTCGCCTACCTACCCGCTCAGACCCCGGCTTCTCCGGATCTCCGGATCCTGGAAGCGGCTCCCGGCACCGACTCTCACACCCGCCGCTGGGCTCCGGCCAACCGGAACTCACCGCGTCACTTCCGGTCCGTTCCCCCCGCCCCCCGAGGAGCCCGCCTCCAAAAGAAAAATGTTCCACCTTCCTTTTGGCAACCCTAGAGGATCCTCGCGGGATTTCAGTTCGGTTTTCTCAGTTCGGGCCCTGTGGGTGTGACTAAAGGAAGAATGACTGCGCTTTGTAGTTCCTGATCCGGAACTAGTTTTTCTGGCGACCCGGAAGAAGTTGGTGGCGCGCGCGAAGCGTGTTCCTTGCTCGGGAGTGGAGTACCGCAACGTGTGAGCTACAAGCACTTCAGGTAAGTCTCTGTTCCTACCAGGACGATGGAGATGAGTTAGTTCTTTCTGTATCTACTGGAAGGTATTTTACCATCTTATCCCACTGAGTTGGGCCCTTTTTAGCTACTTCATAAACTGTCTTCGAGGCCGCTCTGCAAACCGTCCTCTGGAGGAAGAGACCAATTTTAGTGTCTAGCAAAGCCTCCTCATTTAGGTGGCATTGATACGCGGTGCTAGTATGGGAAAATGGAGAGCAGGCCTCACACTGTAAATACTAAATGTCCGTTTTCTAGTCGTTCAGCCTTGTTCCGACAGAGGAAGAATTTTATCAAAAGTAATTCTGTTTATTGGTATTGTGGTGCATGCACCTTGTGCATGCTAGGCAAAGCGCTCTACCATAGAGCTATGTTAATCCTATAGATGTGAGGAGAAAGACCACAGACCCATATCAAATTAACTAAAGCAAGCTCTTTTTATTCGTGCACATGGGCTGTCTCTCCCTAGTGGAATGGTTCAAGAGATCAGTATTGGACATGGGCAAGAGAAGGGGCTGCATAGGGCTTCCAAATGGGGAATTTGGCAGGCAAAAAGGCGGGGTTACAGAAGCAGAGCATAAGTATAAGCAAGTTGGTCATAACCCCCTGAAACGAAGGTATGGTTGCCATATCCAGGAACAGGCAAGTACCATATTGGACAGCATAGTAAGATTGTAGCTATATAAGATTGTGTAATACTATCCATATTTCCAGACAAATGGCAGATAGTTTTGTTTAGGATCCTGTAAAACTGTCAGATAGGTAAGGTAAGCATTGGGTCAGAGTCGGGTTAAGTAATTCAAAGAGGAAGGGTTAAGGTTTTAAAAGTTCAGCAGGGAGTGGTGAACAAAACTCAAATGAAACCGAAAAATAAACAACTGTGGTGACAATGACACATGTCTGGTTCTTTGAGACAGGGTTTCTCTATGTAGCCTTGCCTGTCCTGGAATGTGCTCTGTAGATCAGGCTGTTGTTAAACTCAGAGATCCGCCTACCTTTTGTGCACCACCACCACCCGGCTCTGAAACACTTCTGATAGAGATGGGGAAGAGAGGCACCAATACACAGTAATTAGGAGGAAGAGATAATTGATTGGATGTGAGAGAGGAAAATTATGCCATGGTGGGTCAAAAATTTTAGGAAAGGGTTTTTTTAGGTTGGAAAACGTAAGAACCAGTGGAATAGATTATTGCATAGAGCATGACTTTGGAGCTTATCTGGAGCAAGAAGCCTGATAAAACACGCTTGGTAAAGCAGGCTACTAATTAGAAGGCCCTAAGAAGAAGGGTTTTTATGGATATATTTATTTTACTGTGAGTTGTCTGTGCTACTTAGTATGAGCAATGTCAAGCTTGAGCTTATTGGTTGGTTTATAGTGAGGATGCAGAGAAACAGACTGAAACACCCTTTATAGGAGTTAGTCTGATTGGGGTAACATGGGTTTAGAACAGCCTAAGTTTATTAGTGATCTCATGGAGGTGTAGGACATAAGTAGAAAACATGGAAATCTTTGCAATTTTCACTGTTCTCTGTAGGCAGAGTTTCTGTGTCCCAGCAGCTGCTTCACAATAGCCACACTGAGCCTTAATATTAATTATAAGGGCTCAACCAATTAGCTTAGGTTTGTTACTAACTAGCTCTTACACTTTAACCCATTTCTATTAATCTGTGTGCTACCCTGAGGCTCATGGCTTTTTACATTTATCCCATTTTGTGTGTCTGACTTGTACTTTGTCTGGCTGCTGACTCCTCTAACTCTGCCCTTCCTCATCCCATCATTCTTAGTTTGGCTTTCCTGCCTAACTTTATTCTCTTCAGCTATTGGCCAGTCAGCTTGTTTATTAAACCAATCATAGAAACATATATTTGCACGGTGTGCAGAAGGATTATTTCAAACATTTTCCCCCTTTTTGTCTAATTAAAAAGGAAGGTTTTAACTTTAACATAGTAAAGTGATATATATCAAAAACAGTTATCAAGAATTACAGTTACAATATCCGATCTATTTGTATTTGACAAAATTAGAGAAAATATTCTTATTGTTTATCTTGTTGAGTCTAAAGTTTTACATCTAGTTTACCTCTTACTATAATTAAGGAAAACTATAACTATCTTGTCTAACTCCACCAATGACCCCAGAAGGGTGAAATGCTACCTAATGACAGGGACATCAAGCTGCCTGGACAGTCACCCAGAGTTTCTTTGCAACATTGGGGCATCCAACTCTGGCATATAGGTCTAGCATATCTGACTTTTCCTGTAAAGCAGGGATTCTGAAGGACTGCCTTACCTTGTCTTGGCACAATGACATCCTGCTGTCAGCAATTGAGGCAAGGGCAGTTTCTTTGCCCTGGTGGCTACCTTTTGCCAAAAGAAAATGAATTCCATATGGAGTTTCTTTGATGCCCCATCATCTTCTCTCAGATAGATTGGAGCTGCCAGGAGCAGATGTGTCTCACTGTCATGAAAAGCCTTAGGTTATTAAACATCTTAAATGCCGTATTCTATACGTCTTTGGAGTGTTTAAAAACCATCTATCTAATATATCTTTATGACCTTGAAAACATAACAAACATGACTATAAGTTTGACTATTATAGATGACTATTAATCTGTATTTTGTAATTATACATGACATTTTTAAATGAGCTGCATAAGCATAATATTCCAAAAAAAGAGTAGAAATAATATACAGTATAACAAAATTAACATTAAATTTGTATCATTGTACAAAAATCCATACCAATGTAAAATATATAAGACTAGTAGATGCTTTTTTAGTTTAAAAGTAGATTCAGTAGTCCTATTATCCTACCATTTCCATGTTTCCCTTTTCTTTTCAGAAAGAGGTCTTTGAATTTCCATTACCAATTAACAGCTTGTATACAACCCCAACCCTCCTGATGATGACAGACATCCATAACCCACCGAATGACAACCACTCCCCTCCTCCCGTTGTCACTGGTGTGTTTAAATTAGATGGAGCAGCTTTTATAGTGGCTGTTAGCTTTTTTAGAATTCAGCCATGTCTTCTCTGATTGATCCTTGTTTTCTCATCTTTAAAAATGAGAGTTATAGCTTCCTAAACTAAAGTAACTGTCAGAAGCTTTGAAGCTATGGATACATTGGAAAATTGTGTATGTATTAAAGGATGCTGAGTCAGCAGTGGTCAAGGAAACTGAGGCAGGACAATCACTGCAAGGCCTCAGGCTTACAGTCCTTTTTTGCCTCTGCCTTTTGAGTGCTGGTCAACTTCCTGCATGCTAGGACTACAATGTGGGCCACCATTGTAGTCCAATGAGGAGAGAACATAAACTGATTTGAACCCTAACCCTTGGCTACAAGGCTCAGTAACAAGTGTTACTTGGGTGGGCACTTAATGAGCAGCTACACTGGCAGAAGTCCTTTTGTGTGTGTGCTTTTGTTTTTTGAGAGAGTTTCTCTGTTTTGCTTTGGAGCCTGTCTGGGAACTCTGTAGACTAGGCTGTCCTTGAACTCACAGAGATCCATCTGCCTTCTGCCTCATGAGTGCTGGGATTAAAGGCGTGTGCCACCAACTCCCCGGCTCTATGCTTTTTAATTTAGTCTAATTTAGTCATAGTCTCAAGATCCTCTCTTTTTGGTTTTGTTTTGTTTTTTTCCAGACAGGGTTTTTCTGTGTAGCTTTGGAACCTCTCCTGGCATTTGCTCTGTAGAGCAGGCTGGCCTCGAACTCACAGAGATCAGTCTGCCTCTGCCTCCCAAATGCTGGGACTAAAGGCGTGTGCCACCACTAGCTGGCTGTGAGATCCTGTTCTTTATAACCTAGCTTTATTCCTTGTTAGGCACTGACAAAAACAATTCGATTTTATTTATTTATGTAATTATTAAGGCAGGGTCTCTATGTAGCCCTGGCTGTCCAGAAATTCTCTATGTAAACCAGCCTGGCTCTACCTTTCAAGTTCTATGGTTACAAGCATGTACCATTCAACCTTTATAGCCAAAGGTTACAGTATATTATCCATCCTATAATAGACACTGTGTAGAGAGGTTAACTTTCCTTGAATCTGGAATATTTGCTTATTTTGCAACCTAGAAATTGTGAGGACTACTAATTCTATCTGGTGGGCAGCTACCAAACATCTGCTATATTGAACTTCTTTTGGTCTTAGTTTGTCTGTTCCCCCACCTTCCTTTTGGTATGTTGAATGCTTGGTTCATTAAAATCTGAATACTGTGTGTACCTTGAAAAGAGTTACGAAGAAGGAGCTAGGTTTGTGGGCACATACCTGGAATCCCAATTACTGGGAAGGCTGAGGCAACCTAGGCAACTTAGCAAGATGCAGTCTCAAACAGCAGAAACAGGGATGAGTCCCACCATTGGAGAGTCCTTACCTAATATGCAGGAGGTTCTAGAGCAAGGGTTTTCAACCTACTGGTTTCTACCCCTTTGGGAATTGAACAGTCCTTTTACAGGTGTTGCATATCAGATACTTTCATTATGATTCATACAGTAGCCGATTTACAGTTATGATGCAGAAATGAAATAATTTTATAGTTGGGGTCACCACAACATGAGGAACTGTATTAAAGGGTCGCAGAACTAGGCAAATTGAGAACTCCTGCTCTAGAGTCTACCCCTAACATTCCAGGAAGAAAGGAAGGGGGAGGGAGGCAAGAGACCTGACTCTAACAACCTAAATTCAATTCCTTGGACCCATTCCGAAGGAAAAGTGTCCTCTGACCTCT